ACATCACTCCGGCCCACTATCGCCACTGGTCAACGATCCTCAAGGGCTCTAAGATGACGGATATCATTCGACGCACGCAACCTAATACCTTTATGCATATTGGTGCATTCGCGGAGCAGAAGAAGACCATCATGATCCCCTCCACCGCTATAGGGAACGTCACTCTCGCAACCGTTATGCAGTCCGCATGGGCAGTGACTTTGGCGAAGCTGACTGCCCAGTCTGACGTGGTCTTCGGGCTAACAGTCAATGGCCGTAACGCCAGTGTTCCTGGTATTGAGACTACTGTTGGGCCCTGCCTCAACATTCTTCCCATCCGGGTGAAGTTCAGGGAGCATTGGACTGGCCTTGACCTGTTCCGTTATCTTCAAGACCAACAGATTGCCAACATGCCCTATGAGTCGCTAGGATTTAGGGAGATTATCCGGAACTGCACCGACTGGTCCGACTCTACATACTTCACCACCTCCGTATTCCATCAAAATGTCGAGTATGAAGGACAGATGCAACTGGACGGCAATTCGTACCGGATGGGAGGCGTTGGCGTTTTGGACAACTTCACCGACCTCACGCTGGCCTCCAAGTCCTGTGGCCAGGAGAAGCTTGATGTCTCAATCGGGTACTCGCTCAAGGGACCTATCCCAGCAACCTTCATTGCTAAAGCTCTGAACATGGTTTGCGAGACTGTACAGAGTCTGATTGCCAACCCCAGCGTCCCACTTGCCTCCCCTGCCACCATCCGCTCCCTTCCGAGCCAAGTCATTCATGAAGCACCCAAAGCGTCTGATACACCCTTTCTCTCGTCCAATCTGAACAGTCAGAAGATGTCGGAGATAGTAATCCACTCAGACATCCTCACCCGGTCCTGGCAGCAGGTGCTACCCCGTCGGACTGACAACCCACAATACCAACTCGACGCATCTTTCTTCGACCTCGGCGGAGACATCATGAATGTCGCCCAGTTGGTCTGGATCCTGGGAGAAGAAGGCTTCAGTGTCCGCTTGGAAGACCTTCTCGAGCACCATACCTTCTTGGGAATGATGGCCGTGATGGCGATGCACCACAAGCCGGCATTGAATGGCAGCATGGCAGCAACCATGGCTGAAGAATCAACCAAAGACATGAAAATGACTATGACAAAGAGCAACAGCTGGAGTTCGCTGGGCAAGGCAATGACGCTTGCCAAGAGATTTACTAGATGGGGGGCTGTAGCAGCCAAGAAGTGAGGTTTACATTCATTGTGGAGGATACATAACGCACTCATTTGGTTTCTAACATATACTATTTCTGATTCTTTCTGTATTGCATATAATTTTGTCAAACTACATTCCTTTTTGTTTCCATGTTTGAGGTTGGATGTTGCCTATCTTTTGGAAGTTGGATTTATGTTGTTTTCTAAATTTTTGTTAAAGGAGATCGTATCATTTCATCTAAATAGATTCCTTTCTCACTTATATCCTTCGACTAGTCATAACATGTTAGTGTTTCAGACGCGTATACAGATTGATAAATACCGATGATCTCCAATACTAAAACGTCCATGGCTATGCACTCTAATATGACATACAACCTCACCGACAAAGCCACTTAGGGCTGGGCTATCACCCTAGCTAGCTACACATATCATATTACTGCACAATACCCGGTATAGTAATTACATTACGCCGTGTTCAATCGCCGAAGGAAAGACAAACAAACGCCGCGCTGCGGCGACTTATGTATGCCCCTTATGATTGTCTGGACCTATACGAAAAGAATAGCTTATATCCGAACCAATCTATTCAACTCAGCCTAGACATTAATCATTGAATAATACGTACTAGTAGTAGTTCCTATCTATCAAAAAACCCCCCGCCATGCTATGCGTATCATGCCAAAACCAACAAAAAATGAAAAAAATGAAAAAAAATGAAAACCAGAGGTATCTCAAATAACAACAATCTGACAAACCAACAAGTAAATCCCAGTGAACAGGAAACAGAACTTTTAACCCAGCCCGTCTTCACATCAAGTCATGAACGACAAGCCCAAAATAATCGAGGGGTATATATATGAAACGCAAAGGGTATAGGAAGCGAGCAAAGACATCCAGATACGCGAAGTAAGGTAAGGTAGAGAGGGGGGTAAAAAATCAATACCCGTAAACCGAAGCGCGGGACCACTTCCCCCTAGCCCTAATGCGTTTCCCAAAGATATAAAACAAATAAGGGATGGGAATCAAGGCAACAGCCACAAATCCCAACACACTGGCGGCCCAATCCACGCCCAAACGATGAAACATGATATTAGCGAAGAGGGGGAAACAGCCGGCGAACAAACTTCTCAGGAAAGTGTTGGCGGCGACAGCACTGGCGGAAACTTTCTGGAAGGTATCGATGAGGTAATTCAATGCGGCTTGGAAGATGGTAAAGAAACCGAAACCCATGCAGACGGCTCCGATGATGGGAGCGATCCAATGGATATGGGGATCGCTGGTCCAGGCGAAGATGAAGAGGCCAGCGGCGAAGACGATCGAGCCGAGCATCATCGGGGGTAGACGGGCTTCCGGGACGGGGAAGTTATTGTTCGCTTTGAAGCGGGCGATGTAGAATTTCTGGTTGAAGAGGTTGATGCACGCACCGAAGAGGATGCCGACGAGGTAGGCGAGGAAAGGCAGGGCGCCGACGACTTGGTTCCAGCCGCGGACTTCTTGGAATTCGATGGGGAAGGAGGCCAGACTGAGGTAGAGGATGCCGTAGACGAAGGAGGCGTAGATGGCGACGAGGAAGCAGATCGGGGTGGTGAGGAGGGCGAAGGGCCGGATGAGGTACTTGTTGCCGAGTTCTTTGAAGGTGACGTCCCATTCTTCGTGGCGGGCGTGCAGGGCCCAGTTGCCGGTTTCGAAGCGGAGGCGTTGGGCTTTGTAGACGAGGAGAACGGCCGGGTAGCTTTCGTCTAGGAAGATCAGGTCCATCGCTAGGAAGAACATCATCATGATTCCCGTGATGTATTCCGTCCATCGCCAGCCGAGGTAGCTTTGGCAGATGGCTCCGCCGACAATCGGACCTAGGACGGGTCCGCCGACGACGGCCATGGCGTAGCCAACAATGGCGGCGCCGCGTTGCTCCGCGGTCCAGATGTCGCTGAGGACTCCGCCGGTGTTGGTGACGGGCGCGGAGCCGAAGAAGCCGCAGAAGAATCGGGTCAGCATGACGGTTTGGAGGTCTTTGGCTGTGGCGGTGCCGAAGGAGAAGATGGCGGCGATGAAGTACGGCGCAAGGACGGCGGGCTTGCGTCCGTAGACTTCGGATAGAGGTGCCCATACGAGGGGACCGAGTCCTGACTAGGGTCAGTTTATGCGCTAGAAGAGCGAATGATGGGTATAGATATAGATGAAGAAACCTACCGAAACCGAACAACAGCAGCGTTGTACCCAATGTCCCGACTTCCTCTCCCACGCCAAATTCCGCATCGATTTGCTTGGTGCCTGTGGAGAAACTGCGCTGTGTCAGTAACCTGGAATGACTATAGATTGGCGGCAACGGTAGAGAAGCAAACAAGCATACATCGAACTAGCCCAAGTCGCACCTAATCGCACGCAACCCACTGTCAGCACCACATCACCTAAAAGAGGTTTATTAAACAAGTATACCAGCAACCGCACATACCCATAGTAGTCAATCCATACAGAATCGTGGTAACCGCCTTCTTGCGAAAACTCCAATTCATCGGCCTATAGGGATCATCCGGCCCTTCAAAGTCGACAATGACGTCCTCGGAGGTCTTAGTATGCGACAGCGGATGCGTGAAACGGGCAGTTTGCCCCGGTTCGCGACTGCGAATGCGCGAAATCACTGAATGCGCACGGTTCTCGAGCGCCGATATGCCCGATGCCGCGGTGGTTTGCTTCTCCAATGCAGTCGGGTCGTCCGGGTGCACGTATGCGCTGTGGTGGTGGTCTTCGGAGGACTCGACATCTTCGGATGAGAGCGATGGTGAGCGGGAGTGCTCGTGTCGCGACATCTTCAAGAGCAGCAAGCAGTACTATATTTATATATTCAATCAATTGATTTAATTCCGAGTGAATAAACGGTAAATAGAATCCTTCGAGTCACTAGTATGCATATGCGAGGGGAGAATATGATATCAGAGGGACGGAATTAATAAAAAAAAAATGTCCCCGATAAAGATGATGCAAAAAAAATCTCCGAATCTCCGAAAAGTAAAGATGGGGGATAAGATAATTGCCGAACATGCAACAGGAATATTTCAAGATGAGGTTTCAACCACCACACGTTTGAGCAAAGTACCTGAGACAAATGAATGAATGATTCAAACAAAGTGGAGGCAGAGATCCAAATCTCCTCTCAGTCAGGGCAGGATATGCCAGTATCTTTAAGGCACATTTCTTCACTGGCGTGGAACCGAAGCCCGAAGCCGTTTTACCCGGGGAGCAGCGTCATAAGCATCGGACGTCCGATAACGGGACCCTCCCAACGTTGCTTCTTTGCATTCGCCGCACGCTGATTCGGCCAATTCGGTAGAATAGTCTGCCGGATCGACGTCAATTTCCTGGATAGATCAGGTCCTTTCAATCGCCCCTATACGCACCATGAGTCACATCCTGCACGTATCCCAGCCTGACAGGGCAATTCTACCCGGCCAAGAAGAGAGCTGCTTGTCAGGGACGGATGCATCCGATGGGGCAGATAGGTGACAGGGCCGGAAACTTATCCGACCCACGGTGATCGTCGCCACCGCTAGAAAGTCTAACTGTCGGTCAAAGAGTTCAAGAAAGGTCTACTATGGTCTAGACGAGAGGTGAGAGATACGGGCGGGTCATGTGTATCTATGATTGTCGCTCCTACGTGGTCAGGGTACCCTTGTAACTAACAACAAAAAAAAAAAACAACAAACATGCATTGATTGCTCCGTCTATCCCTTTAATGTCTTGTGTCTTATCGTAATGTTCCAATGCTGGCGGTAAATGTACAGCGTCATAATACATCAATCATCCATCCTCATCCGGATGTGGTCGCGTGCGCACTCTCCCATTTCTCAACGGCCTCCAGGGCGGCCGTCACTTTGAGCCCAACGCGCGCGTCTAGTTCATAGCTCTCCCACTTGGCCGCCTTCTCTAGGTGCTCCTTACATTCGTGCACTTGGCGACGCTCCAGCTGTATATCGTTCTCGGTGCTTCCAGCAGCTGGTTTCTCGCTAGATGATTCCGGTCCTCCGTGAATAGCACTGTACGTCGGCCGTTCCATCCACAGATTGGCCGCCATCTCGAAGTGTGCCACCGGGTAGATCCAGTCATCCTTGAGATGTCCAGTAAATTGGGACTTGTCCTGGCTGAAGATGCTCGTGCGAATGATCTCTTTCGCCTCATCGTGCCGGCGCATGGCACGGAAGACAGCCGCACGCAGGAGCTGCAGAATAGCCTTCTCTTCCGTACCTTCGCGTGACCATGTCTTATTGGCTTCGCTTTCGGACCACGCCAGCTTCGTCATGGATTCTTCGAGCTGTTCTTGCGTCATACGACTGTGTCCGTTCCAGAAGAAAATCATCTCTTCAATTGGATCCACCCCCACGGCATCCACCAAAGGCACCTTCCACTCCTTGGCGCGAGCCTCCCACTTGGCGATCTTGCGAGAAACAAAGACGTCAAACGGCAGCTGCCGAGCCATGAACTTCTTCTTGCCAGCCAATGGCGGTGCCTTCCGGAAGTACTCCACGGCCTTTTCAGCGTGTTTGGCTGCCGCGGTGGCATCCGTTCCAGCAACGTTCCGGTAGAGGCTGAGGTGGGCCGATCCTGCAATATAGTAGTAGAGTGATCGAGACCAAGAGTTGAGTTCGACGCACTGTAATGGTCAGTTTGATTAAGATCTTCTATACGTCAATCACAGAACAGCATACCTCGAGGAAAGACTCCGCACAAAGCTCGTATCTGTGAAGATACATGGCGTTCAGACTCCGTTCGAAAACCCGCAGGGCCTCGACCTGCTTGAGCGGACTGCGGTCTTCTCCACAGAGCAGCTCCAAGGCAACATCTAATTTCTTGTTTGCTCCGTTCATCCGGGACTCCTCCAGCAGCCACAACTGACTCTTCGGAAACCGCTTCCGCATCAGGGCCAGCAAGGCCTCTAGCCGTTCCTGGGGATAGCCCTGCACGTCATCGCCAGGGACGGGGTCAGGCATGATATCGCAATACCGGACGAAGCCGTTTGAATAGCCAAGAATAGAGAAAGCGGCGAGGGCGCCAATCAGGTTGTGAAATTTACTGGCCTGCCAAAGCATCCTCAATCCGCGTTCCTTGTCTCCGTGGAAGCCAATGATTCCCAAAAGCTTACTGAACGCGGGCGGGACCATTGAGATTAGGAGTAGAAGAATTCCGAAGCAGAAGTTGGCGCCGGAGTGGACGAACACGTCGATCTGATTCTTGAAAATGTCCGAATCAGGATCATGGCTCAACATATCAGAAGGACCGGATGCTGATGTTTCGGAGTCCGCAGAAATTGAAAGATCCGAAAATCCCTTCTTCAGGTCGCCAGGCTCTACCGGCAATGCAGGAACGGACGTGGGCCCCGCTCCCTGCCCAACACCCCGTGGCAGACTCTCCGTAGAGGTAGTGTCCCCGGAGTTCCGCGCCTGCATGATGAACTTTTGCTCCATCTTAAGAATAGCGTCTAGGGTGATATAGGCCTTTCTGAGCTTATAGAATCCTTTGATACTTTCCGTAAGACTTTCATTCAGGACGCCGACGACGGCGCTCATGAGCTGCGCCATGGCCTGGCAGAGCGCAAATTCCGTCCCGGGAGCATATATTTGTGAGTGGTACGTATTGGGCGCATGAGAGTTGTGTTGCGCGCGATGCTGGTCGTTGGCGGCACTCGTCTCCGCGGCATTGAGTCGCTCCGAGGCTATAAAACATCAGTCATCAAGGCGACACCTCTAACCGGACAGTGGTCACACTGGTTACACACCCTGACGCATGATCTCCTGTTCAAAACCCAGTGTGGCCCGAATGAACGCAACGACACCTCTGCCAAGCTATACCAGGCACGAGTTGTAGATCAGCAGAGGCACTACAGAACTAGTGACTTTGAAGATCGGCAGGTACTTGTCCAAACCAAAGGCATACGCACATTATGAAACGACGAGGTTCCTTCGGAAAGACCGTCTTCGGCGCCGTCCACATCGTCATTGAGGATTAACGTGGCAGCTGGTGGCCCAACCGGTTCAGTCAGCATAGCGCCTTTAGCACTGACCCCGGAAGAGCGGGGATTCGATCACGCATGGAAAATTGGACATACCCCTCATAGCATCCTCAACTTTAAGTCCCAAATAATGGATTGTCAGCCATTAATCGCATTCTAGACGGGGCTGAGAAGACCTCTGTGCTCACTCACGATCTCGCAGTTCGGACAAAGAGTCCAGGGACTGGGTGGAGGCCGGCTTCTTGCCATAGAGCCAGGAGCCTACGCGAAACATATTCCAAAAGAAGGGAGCCCGGTCAAAACCAGGCCTGCAAGTAGAAAAGAAAACTAGAAAGGAAGTTGTGCACGAGACGTATGGCGATCAATTAACCAAGAACCGAAGGGCCCCGAAGCAGACGTAGATGGAATGGGAAGATGATCGAATCTCCCATTCGATACGCACCAAGGACGTAGCAAGACTCCGGGACCATAACCCAAGAAAGAGAGAGAGGTGTGGGGGAGATGCAAGAGAATCAATAACAATAGTCCAAAGGCGAACAATTTGTACGAAAGTAGAAAAAAAGAGAGGCGACTCCGACCCAAGGGCTAGGCCGGATGGCCTGGGGATTATAAGCAACGGGGACCAGAAACAATAATAGCGTCGAACCCACGGTCCACTTTGCGGCGGCGAGGCGGAGCAACTGACTGGATAATTGCCGGGAGTTGCTCACGAACAAGGCTCTCAAGAGATCACGAACCAGTGATTTAGCGCATCGGGAAGAGGGGATCGTATTTGAATGTCTCACGAATGGGAGGGAGGGAGGAAGGAAATGTTGGACAGGATGGGAGCTGGGGTCATGTCCGGTATGTCCGGCAAGACTGGAGGGGGAACTGAAGGGGAACAACAATAAAGCTTGACGTCGTCAGGTTCGATTTGACCGACTGCGGACTAGTTAGTTCTAGTAGTGCCGCCCAGCCAAAGTTGAACCGACGCCATCGCCTGCGTCTCCGCCTCCGCCGCCGCGACTCTCTCTCTCATTCCATTTACCTTGCTTGCCAACAACCAACATCACCCACCACCGCCACTTTCAATCTTCTGATCTGTCATCTCTCATTCCTCACCTCTCCTCCTCCCCTCCTCTTTCTTTGAATCCTTCGTACGACCCCTCCTTTCACCTCCCTAAAGACACCTGTCCGCTGCCCTTCCCCCCCATCCCACTCCTACCCATCATGTCGAATCCCACCGCGACCCAGGACACCAAGGCCGAGCCTACCCAACAGCCACAGCAACAGAAGCCCCCCGTGCTGGAAGAAGACGACGAGTTCGAGGACTTCCCCGTTGAAGGTTAGCCATGAAACCACACACACACACACACACACACACACACACACACACACACACACAGACCGCTGGTCTTCCCTGTCATGCAGAAGAGGGAGCTAGCTCCGCTTCCAGCCCAGACAGACAGCCGGCAAAAGGAATCTTACGAATGACGGATTGCGCTGACCTCGGGGCTTTTTTTCACTACTTGCAGACTGGCCTCAGGAGGAAACCGAACAAGGCTCTGCTGCCAACGGCGCAAGCGCTCACCTGTGGGAGGAAAGCTGGGATGATGACGATGCGGCCGAGGACTTCTCCAAGCAATTGAAGTACGTTTTCCCTTCAAGCCAAGCCAAGCCAAACCATATCAAACCAAACCAACCCTCATCGGTCAATTTCCATGAGCGCAATTATCTCTACTCTCCCCATCGATTTCACAGCCCATTCAAAGCTCAGATGATGGACTGCTAACATGGTTCTCTTTTTCAAATCTACAGAGAGGAACTGAAGAAGGTCGGGGCATCTAAATAATAGAATCAATGTTAGATGACGGAAGGGTTGTCGGTTTTAATTTGAGATGAACACACACACACACACATACACACACATACACACACGCAAATTCCACGAAGCATTAATCAACTTGATTACACGTGCAGCTTTTTTACCCTCACGCGGCTCGTCATCGGTAGTGGATCGATGAAACAATTGTCGATAGAAACTTATCTTTGAGTAAAGAGATTCGTCTGTCTGTCTGTCTGTCTGCTTTGGCGGTGCCGGTTCAGTGGCTAAGTGGCTAGCCATGATGCGCGCTCGTGGGAGGATTGATTCGTCTGCAGAGACTACGTCGTCGTCTACGGTGGGAGATCTGGTAGCAGGCTTGCTGCAACTTTGCTGGAAGCGGTGTATGCGCTGCAATAAACACGTTTATGTACTGTCTACGATTTTATTTACACACATCCATTACTGGATGAATCGAATCGAACCCACCGACTATCAACTTCTTCAGGCCTCCTCATTGCGACTCCATTGAATCCCCCGCTCATAGCTTCGGACCCGTCACTAGTCAGAGATTGCATCATCAGAACCTCTCCTGAATATGATATAGGCAAAACGCGTATTTTGATGAGATTAATTATCATTCTTTGTACATTACATTCGTAAAGTTGTCCCCTGTCTTGAGGGGGCGCCGGGAAGGCTGACAGGTAGGTACTACAACAAGCCGCCTGTCCAATTAGTCCAGAGCATGGAAGCTCAACCACAGCTCATCCTCCTCCAAAGAAACATGGAACGGATTTTTGTCATGCAGCATTCTCCGCATATCCAGTGTGATAATATGTTCTGCTCAAATTTACTTACTCGACAGGGCAGCAACACCGGGCAGCTCCTTGCCCTCAAGGAGCTCCAGAGAGGCACCACCACCGGTGGAGACGTGGCTGAGCTTGTCCTCGACGCCGTACTTGGCGGCGACGGTGGCAGTGTCACCACCTCCGATGATGACGATAGAGCCGGACTGAGCAGCGGAGACGACGGCATCGAGGGTCTTCTTGGTGCCGTTGGCGAAGGGCTCCATCTCGAAGACACCGGGGGGACCGTTCCAGAGGATGGTCTTGGCCTCGGCAATGGTCTGCTTGTAGAGCTCAACACTCTTCTCGCCAACGTCCAGACCCATGTAGCCGTCGGGAATACCCTCAGCATCGGTGGCAGTGCCAGTCTTGGCATCAGCAGCGAACTTGTCGGCAGTGACGTAGTCAACGGGGAGAACGATCTTGACGTCGTGCTTCTTGGCCTTCTCGACGACCTCGCCGACGATCTTGCTGCCAGCCTCGTCGAAGAGACTGTTTCCGATCTTGACACCCTCCAGGGTCTTCTTGAAAGTGAAGGCCATGGCACCGGTGATGATCAGGCTGTTGACCTTGGGGAGCAGGTTGTCAATCAGCTGGATCTTGTCGGAGACCTTGGCTCCACCCAGGATGGCAAGGAAGGGACGCTGGGGGCTCTCGAGAGCCTTGGCGAAGTACTCGAGCTCCTTCTTGACGAGGAAACCAGAAGCCTTCTGAGGAAGGTCAACACCGACCATGGAAGAGTGAGCACGGTGGGCAGTGCCGAAAGCGTCGTCTGTGATGTGCAGTTAGTACAGAGCTCATACACTACTGGCCTCTCGAGCTAGGGAATGCGAGAAAAGGATGGCTTACTGATGTAGACGTCACCAAGAGCAGTCAGGCCCTTGCGGAACTCAGCGACCTTCTCCTTGTCGGCCTTGACCTTCTTGCCCTCGGCATCCTTGGAGCTGCCCTCCTCCTCGGCGTGGAAACGCAGGTTCTCAAGGAGAACAATCTGGCCACCAGTGGCCTTGTTGACGGCCTCCTCAGCCTCCGGGCCAACGCAGTCCTCGGTGAAGACAACGCTGCGGCCAAGCAGCTTCTCGAGCTCGGCAACAACGGGCTTCAGGCTGTACTTGTCGTTCTTCTTGCCGTCGGGGCGGCCCAGGTGGGACATGAGGACAACAGCCTTAGCACCATTGTCGATGGCGTACTTGATGGTGGGCAGAGCACCGACGATACGCTGGTTGTTGGTGATCTCCTTCTTGTCATTGAGGGGGACGTTGAAGTCGACCTGTCCATTAAATCGACTGATTAGCATTGAAGCACTACCACGACCCCACGATGATGATTGATGAAAAGGTGGGGGTTTCCGGGGCAACAACAACATACCCGGATCAGGACACGCTTGTCCTTGAGGTCGACATCGGTGATAGCGAGCTTGTTGGTGAGAGACATGGTGAACGACGGTTCTACGACAGTCGGGATGGAGAGAGAGGTGGGGTGACAAAAAGAAGGGAAGGGGAGATTTGGGGGGGGGGCAGCGTAGTATTAGTAGCACCACGGGGTACGAGGGGATTAAGAAAAATGCCTACTTAATAGGTCCGCGGTGAGCGAGTCTGGTCACTCCGGGCACTGGAAGCTACGACTTCATTCGGTTCGGCGGCGGGGTAAAAGTGGTGGTTATGGGCTGGTGGTGGGGCAGCCGGTGAGAGAAGAAGAATCGCGGGCGCCTCGGGCTGATGCGGGACTGATGTCAGCGACCGTGAATCGATGACGGAAGGGTCCGGGGCCTCAGGGGTGAACATTATGCCTGTTATGCCCCGTTCGGAGCCCCTTAGCCTCGGATCATGGCTGCGATGGGAGGTTCTGTTGCGTCCGGGGGTGGATCTATCAAGCAAACGTTCCGATATTTCTCGTCTATGGAAAGCCGGCTCGCTCGTGGGGACAACCCCGCCTACAGAAGATATTGGAGCTCGTGCCTGGTTCAATCCCGAAAAAAACACTGGTGTATTCCTTTTTTGTCGACATGGTTTATCGATCAATGCAATTGACTCCGGTGTACCCACGTTGCTGGACGAAGATGACCTATACACCACCCATGAGAGGAAGAATAACAGGACCCCCAAAGCTCATTTACAGCGCCCAGTAAGCACAAAACAACGCAGGGGAAGAAATAATGGCAGACAAACGAGGGAAGAAACGATTGAGAACCTTGTGGGAGCCAAAATATGAGCCCGCTTTACCCTTACTCTTCCTCCGAAGAGTTGGTCAACGACAGATACGCAGTCCAGGCGATACCGACGGAGGACACAAAGGGCTGAATCAATATGTATCAGTATCACAGCGCACACGACATCTGTCACAATGGAACTCACAATCTGGAACTGAATAGGTACGACACGGAAGTTCAGGATCTGAACAGCGGGCCACAGGACAAAGTTGGCCTTGAGGGTTGGCAGATAAACGTCCTGGAACTTGCGAGTCAATGCTCTCCTACCTCCTCCCTCGGCGACCGTCATGAAGGAAAAGAAGCACGCCAGACCTGGTGATGTCATTAGCAAACAGAAAGCGCGTTCTTCTACCTCTGGAGACGCTTAATACCGAAAGGAGCGAACATCAGCTGATCCACGCACACTCTTTTGAGAGCGGGAATCGACGGGTTTCTCTTGGTAAGGGGGAACGTCCTGGACAAGAAACCGAACCAATGAAACTGAACTGGGGCCATGAAGAAACCGTATGACATGAAGCGAGTCAGACGCTCAAAGTCGAAGGCCGGCGCCAAATGTCTAGCATGTCCCAGCTCTCCAAGAGCAGGCGGCTTCTCTTTATCAAGGTCGTGGATCTCAATCGAGATGAGATCGTTACCATCAGAAGGCCGGCGTCCTCCACGCGCTTTGAAAGCCGTGATCAACTGTGCGACCGTGTCTGCGATCCCACCAAGGATCTAACATGCCGTCCAACGTCAGTCGATCATATGCCAACGACAAATGATTCGTTCGAAGGAACTCTTACTGCATTGGTAACCATGGTGGTTAAAACTAAAGACGACACAAAGTCAGTCAACTCCTGAAGGCGCCTAGCAAGGGAGCAGCAGCATGACAGCCTTACCTGGTTTCTCCGCATAGTAAGAGTTGAACTTAGCGGCAAGTCGCATCGCAGCCGCCATTTCGATGAGAAAGATTATGGCGTGAAGCAATGGCTAAAAAGGAGAAGAATGGAAGGAGTGAAATCAGTGATGAGTTCCCTCATAGGACAAGATTTATTTGTAAGACAATATTGCTTTTACGACAAAAATGTAAAAAGCGCCCCCCTTGGGTGAGATAGGATGGAATTGAATTGAGACCAAAAGTTTCACATACCAGACGGCCGTAGATGTACCTCCGATTGAGTCCATCGAGTATTCTTCGACGACCAGTGGAGAACATGACGAAGGGCGATGATAGACGATAAGTGATTGGCAAGATGGAAGGGGATCGAAGGCGAACGGCCTGGAAATCCCGGTTGGCGGGCTCGGGGCGAGTATGACGCAAAGGACTGCCAGAAAGCGCGCACAGGCGAAACAAGGGCGAGCAGGCGAATACTAAGCAAGCCTCCCGACGACTCCTGGAACCCGGCGTCAGTTGATCGTCGCGGTAGGTGTCGATGAGACGGGCGTACTGTGTATGGTGTACAGAAGAAGAAAAGAAGAAGCGGGTTAGATTTGGGTTTAGGTCGACCAGCGATTCAAGCCCCCGTTAAATAGAACGAACAAGAGGAACGGTAGTATTCTCGAGGCAGCGAAGATGCAAGATCGAGGTCATGTCATCTTGTCGGGGGTTCGAACTTCTTCCCCCGCCCCTTGGACCAATCCGCTCGCGTGATCATCCGCCCATCTCCGCCCGCCCGCCGCTTTTTGAGGCGGAGGGTCTGCATTGCCGCTTTTATAGCCCCCCTTCTCCTTTTTACTTAGGAAATTCTTATAATGACTACTACTAGTACCGTCGGGGGAGATCCAACGCTTAGTATATACAATTAAATGATCTATTCATATGATGTACATGCAACTCATAATGAGACCTGACGAACATCTATTCCTTATCACCGCCCGCTAATCATGCTATCACCCCTCAAATCATAAAGATAGCCAAGTCCATAAACATGCATCGTAGCTAGCCAGCCTTCAAGCTATCTATCATAAGGATAATCCAGGCCTCTTCTCAACTGTCCACCTCAGTCGGCTTACCTTTCCTGTCAAAGGAATGGATGTCCGGGAGGTCCTTAATATCAATCATCTCATTCGTATTTACATCCACCAGACGTACAGCTTCCAGACGGAGTGCCCCCACCGCCAAGGGAAGCAATTTCACTTCCGTAGAAAAACAGGTGCCAGGCAAAAGGGGACTGTGAGATAGTCAGCTAGGGTAAAAGGAAAGGAAGATGTGAAGCTACTCACCCAGCCCGAACGTCAGTACTCAGAGAAATGAGTTCTGCTTCCTGGCCAACTACACTTTTCTGGAGTGCATGAACGATATTGTCATCCGTTACAGCTTCCGCGACCTGAGCATCTTTGCGGCTCGTCGCAGATGAAGAAGATGGTCGCACGGTATGTCCCCGTGGGTCCAGCTTCTTCCGGCGAGGGATTGCAACTATCGAGAATTTGCGCGACCCGGAGGATCGGTTCACGATGAAGATACTCCAAGCAAAGGGCTTTCCTACTTCGACATGTGGAGGGCCACTGAACGAAACCGATACACCAAGGCCTGCGGTTGAGTATGCCCGCTCTCTCAGGGAGCTTCGATTAGGCGTGGCGGTCCCCGCTGCGGCGTTGCTTTGGTTGGGTGTCATCGGAAGACTTGCAGGGCGGTTGTTCCGTTGTAGAGCTTGGCTAGGACCCCCAAAAGTTGGGTTGAGGACCATGGAGAAATCAACGTTGGTTCTCCATTGCATCAAGATCCGCGGGTTACAATTGTCCGACAGGTGGATGATTGCTTCTAGCGAAATATCCAGAACACTGACCATCACAGTTGTTGATGGATTTGGGTCAGGCGCATAATCGGGCGTTAACTTGTATACAAGGGTAATATCATCTCGCGGCTGGCAACGGATGGGCGGAAGCAGCCCCGGTGCATCTGTGAGGGTTTCTATCGTCCCATCCGACATGCTAAGCTCTGCCTTGTCAAATGTGACATCGCAATTGAGGAATGGTGTCACCTCAAAATCGAGGCTCGCAACGGTAGTAGGCCGTCCACTATAGGCATTCAGCCGAGAATAACGTATCCTTGCACTGGCAGCAGGAACTATGCGTATGGGGTGGCCGGAATGCTGCTGAACGTTATATATGGGGTCTTCACTGTATTTCGCCGGTACAACTCGCAGAAGCCTAGATGCGGGGAGGAATGGATCTTTTTGATCCAAGGATTTGTCACTCGATAGCGGCTGTAGAATATTTGTAGAGGCCGGGATCAGAGGCGGGAGGTAGTCGTCTCCCCGAGACTCTTGCTGTCGGGTTTCAGCTGGGTTGAGGCTAGCGGAGGCGATGAAGAGGAGGGAAGGGTGTTGAATGCGTATGCGCGGACGCTCTGGAGTTTATCAGCACGATAGGATACTGGAACTTGAACGGGGACCTTACTCAAGAATGCCTTAACACTCCAAATCACATATACGTGGTTGCCCCCACCGGTGTCTCCCTCAAACTCATTCACCACCACCAATGGCTCCTGTGCATCTACAACCCCTGAGAATATGAGGTCCCGAGTCGGGGTCGGATTCTCCGCGACTGTCTCGGCGGGATCAATGGCAAAGGCATCGAGTCGGACTTCGAGGTGCGGAAGATACTGTTTCAGGCTAGGTGGGGAGCAATTGGATAGCCGTAGGACAACGCGAACGGTGCAGAACTCATCTGTATCACGCTACATATGAGTAAGAGATAGAGCTCGATCAGGCCAGCAGGTCGTAGCATACCGAAGAACAGAAGAGAGCGTTGCGGTATTAGCGAAAGCACAGAAGTGAGATCATCTGCGCCATTTTCTAAAGCAGAGGTCAGAGCTGCTTCTAAGTCGGCATCTGAAGCATGCGGGACAACTGTATCTAGAACAGCATGTCTGAGGAATTCCCCGGGGATGTCGAGACTCGGCATGGCGAGAACAACAGCCGCATGCTCTTCTTCTCGTAACGGGGTAAAGGGATAGCACGCGCACAGGCAACCGACACCAGGGAGGTCAAAAGAAGGCAACAGATGGAAATCCCCTCGATGCGCATTTAATTTAAGAGCAGCCAGGGACCCAGGCGCGCCGGGTGGAGGTGTTCGATACCCCGGGACGCTGCAAACACGACAAACAGCCTTAGCGCAGGAACCCCGGCGAGCTTCTTCGAACGCTGCTTTTTCCCGACCTTCTCTTATCGTCGCAACAGCAGTATCTGTTCCCGGCAGCTTCTGCAACTTCGATATGAATCCCATGAACGGTCCGGCTGGCGCGCCTCCCCTTTGGCAGGAGGCGCGTAACTCTGATGGTCGAGTTTACTACTACAATGTACAGACGAAGGCGACGCAGTGGGCGAAGCCCATCGAGCTAATGACGCCTGTTGAGGTATGAGTTCTTATGCCCTTTTCAAAATGACATTGCCATTTATTATGCTCCTGGATACTAATTCATCGTCATTTTTCATATAGCGTGCGTTGGCAAACCAGCCGTGGAAGGAATATACTGCTGAGGGTGGTCGGAAATACTGGTACAACACCGAAACCAAGCAAAGCACTTGGGAGATGCCAGATGTTTACAAATCTGCTCTGGCACAGGCTCCGGCGCCTCAGGCTCCTCCAGTGGCGTAAGTTCATGCCCAAACTTGCCTCTCAATGCGCTTATGAGCCTAACGTGTTTGTGCATAGGGCCCCGACTTTCGTTGCAGGTGGTGTTAGCTCGTTTTCATCTTACCCACAACAGCGTGACCGCGACGACTATGATCGAGGCTATGGCGACCGACGTGGAGGATATGGTTCGATGGATACCAACGGCATCGCCGCGGCTCCTATTCTAGGCACACAGCAAGCCGAACCTGAGTACGGCTCTCTTGAAGAGGCAGAGAACGCGTTCATGAAGATGCTGAAGCGCCACAACGTGCAACCCGATTGGAGCTGGGAACAGACCATGCGCGAAACCATCAAGGATCCTCAGTATCGTGCCCTCAAAGACCCCAGAGACCGCAAGGCAGCATTTGAAAAATATGCGGTCGAGGTTCGCATGCAGGAAAAGGATCGGGCGAAAGAAAGATTCGCTAAGCTCCGAGCAGATTTCAATACCATGTTGAAGCGCCATCCTGAGATCAAACATTACAGTCGCTGGAAGACCATCCGACCGATCATCGAGGGCGAAACCATCTTTAGATCTACGGATGATGAAAACGAGAGGCGCCAGCTCTTCGAGGAGTACATTGTTGAGCTCAAGAAGGAGCACATCGAGGAGGAAGCTGTCAAGCGTAAGGCTGCCATGGATGAGCTGGTGACTATCTTGAAGTCCCTGGACCTGGAACCATACACACGCTGGTCTGAAGCACAGGCGATTATTCAGTCGAATGACAAAGTCCAAAGCGACGACAAGTTCAGAACCCTGAGCAAGTCCGATATCTTGACTGCATTCGAGAACCACATCAAGTCCCTTGAGCGGGCCTTTAATGATGCGCGTCAGCAACAAAAGGCTGCAAAGGCGAGAAAAGAGCGTCATGCCCGCGAGCAGTTTATCGAGCTTCTGAAGGAGCTGAGATCTCAGGGTAAGATCAAGGCTGGAAGCAAGTGGATGAACATCTACCCCTTGATCCACGAGGATCCTCGGTACGTCGGTATCCTGGGTAACTCCGGGTCATCTCCCCTGGATTTGTTTTGGGATATGGTTGAAGAAGAAGAACGCTCACTGCGTGGCCCGCGTAATGATGTCTTGGATGTACTTGACGTGAGTGTGATTAAACCCGGTTTTCTGTTTTCTGGCACTAACCTGTACTCAGGACAAACGCTTCGAGGTTACACCAAAGACCACTCTGGAGGAGTTCAACGCTGCTGTATCTGGGGATCGCCGGACAGCCAACATTGATCCGGAGATACTTCAACTGATTTTCCAGCGTATCCAGGAGAAGGCTGTCCGACGAAGCGAGGAAGAGAAGCACGCTGCGGACCGTCATCAGCGCCGCGCTATAGATTCACTGCGTTCCCGGATCAAGCGTCTCGATCCCCCTGTCCGTGCAACTGATACTTGGGAACAGGTGCAGCCGCGGATCGAAAGATTCGATGAGTACAAGTCTCTGGAGACCGATGAGCTCCGACAGGCCGCCTTTGACAAGGTCATCCGCCGCCTGAAGGAGAAGGAGGAGGATGCGGAACGAGACCGCGAGACCCGCGATAGGGATCGCGGAAGTCGCCGTGATCACCACGACCGTGATCGTGATCATCGGAGCGGGCCATCCTATAGAGGCGAAAGAAGGGGAACGTCTAGCCGTCTAAGCCGGACCCCAGAACCAGATGCCTACGAGGCAGATCGCCGTAAAGCCCAAGCAGACCGTGAACGCTCCTACCGGAAGGCCAGCGGCCTATCGCCTGTCCGAGAGAGACGGGAAGAGCGCGATCGAGACAGGGAACGTTACCGTGAGCGTGAGCGGGATAGGGACCGCGATCGTGACTGGGACCGGGATCGCAGCGCACGCCCTCTTAGCCATTACGAACGCGAGCGCCGCGAGCGTGAGGAAGAGCGCGAACGCCTCTATCGCACACGCGGTGATCCCCGGGGAGGTCGGGATGAGCTGGATTATGGTGCCGATACCCGAAGCACCACAAGCAATGATCGTAGGCGCAGACGCGACAGCGACACGGAAAGTGTTGCCAGTCGCTCTGCGAAGCGGTACCGACGGGATAGTCGGGAGCGCGAACGCAGCCGCGGTGCCAGGCGAGACCGGGACCGTCGCGAGCGGACTCCAGCGGCAACCGATGATGGAAAGAAAGAGGAAAAGGCCGTCCACTCCGGTAGTGAAGAGGGGGAGATTGAAGAAGATTAAGTAGATGCACACACTACTACCCGTTCCATAGGTAATTGCCAATGGATGCTGACTGACTCTACACTTGTAGTGTCGGATTCTGGTGGACGCGTCTGTCGTCTTTGCTGCCCCAGTATATCGACTTTGTATGTCTAGCGCTCACACGATTGATATATGCATTTCTTGACATGTGAAAATACAAATACAATACCTATAATATTCTATGGCATAGCTAGTAGATATAGTAATTTGACATAGCCTCCGGGACTTAAGTCATGGCGTCCATTTCTTGGGTTCAACTTTTAGTTGAATTACTAGTAGTACTTCAATGGAGTACCGAAGATATATATAGTCTATCACCATCATGACATATCACCACTGCCAATACAACCACAAACACACCGGTACGCATCACGGCACGTCATGTGCAATGACAGGTTGGAATGAAATGCTTCGTTTGTATTGTTCAATAGTACTTTTTGATATATTATTCATGTGATCCAGCGAACAAAATGCGGGAGGTCTGACCCTTACTGGAGGAGTATGACATCCGGTGGAGACGGACATTTTCGGAGGGAATCTGTTTTCGTAGGCGTACACAAGCTACTTACGTAGAGTTTACCATACTGTCCTAGATAGGCTTTATCATTCTTTGATAAAGAAAAGCAAGTGATATATACGAAGTGAATGACTAGCGTAATGAATTATGTTCAAAAAAAAAAAAAGAAATCTTTTGGACAGTGGCCACCTAGCTTGACCATAACCAGCTAATCTTTTTTTTTCCCTCACCGACACCCTTTTTTGTCGGCGGACCATCCATGTCGCGAATAACCTTGAACTCTTTTGACAAACATTGTAACTCCGACATGACTGCGCCATCCAGGAAATCCGTATACCCAAACATAATCTAATAGACTAGTCTCGTTGTGTCTTCACTCCGAACCATCGTGAAGAGGACTAGATTGAACTATGCAGGCGTGGATGGCGCTGGGGAGGGACGACCATGAGCGACGACAAGGGGGGAGGCCAGAGAGGATTAACTGGAACAGGTTAAACCACTGCTCCTACCTAGCCGAACAAGTCGTCCGCTCCCTCTTCGTCATCCTCCTCCAAAGCACCATCCACATCATCAGGAAGGCGCACGCCACGGCAGCGGCGCCGCCTTCTCTGAGCTGCAGAGGCCTTTGTAACGCCGAAAAACGCCACTACCCGAAGGTAGCCCCAGCGACGATAGCGACGCCGCTGGTCCGAGTCGCGGCCGTCACGTCGGTGAGGCACGCGGTCATACTTGCCCGGAACAACCTCTTCATTTCTCTTCTTCCAAGAAGAACTGTGAAGAATGCAAGTCAGTATTATGTTTCCAATGAGAAAAAGAAGATACCACCACGGCGGAACTATGCCAGTGCTGAGGTGAGAAGATTGTAGACTTACGTAGTTGCCGGCCAACTTCTGCTCCTGGTCCATCTGGGACTGGTACTTGTTGATACGAGGGCGGTAACTGTTGGGGTCACGACGGAAGGTGACATCCAGGTTCTTCAAGAAAGTGTTGCAACCAGTGACCAGGGACTCAGGGGCGTTGGCGTGAGCATCGACGGAGGGCTTACCGTCGAAGACGATGACACGATCGGCGAGATAAGTGGCCATGATGAAATCGTGCTCGACGATGAATGCAGTCTTCTTGGTGTGCATGATGAAACGCTTGATGACCCTGGAGGCCACGATACGCTGCTCGGAGTCCAGGTAAGCACTAGGCTCGTCAATGAGGTAGATATCGGCGGGAATTCCCAGAGCCAGGACAATGGCAACACGCTGCAATTCACCACCAGACAGGTTCTGAACTTCCTGGTCAATGAAGTCATCAATCTTGAGAGGCTTGTAGACATCAGTCTGGAATTGGGGCGACAGGAACGCAGCCTTGATACGCTTGAAGAACAGCTGACGGACGGTACCCTGGAATTTGGGGGTGATCTTCTGGGGCTTCATGGAGATGTTCAGGCGAGGAACGCTCTTGCCACCGTCAGGCTTCTCAGCACCAGCAAGCATTTTACAGAATGTGGTCTTTCCGGTTCCGTTTTCACCCATCATGACAATGATCTCAGAGTCGGTGAAGCTTCCAGCATCGATCTTAAGGTGGAAGTTACCGAGAGTCTTCTCCATGCTGGGGTAGGAGAAAGCACGGGCCCGGTCCACCATGAAGTCATCACCAGACTCAGCAAGACGGAAAGTAAGAGATTCCTCGCGGAATCGCAAGTTCTCGGTGGGGATGTGACCATCCAAGAAGATGTTGATACCTTCACGGACGGAAGCAGGCAGAGTAACCACACCGTAAAGGGCGGGTCTTCCGTAGAGCACACAGACGAAATCAGACAGGTAATCAAGAACAGACAAATCGTGCTCGACAACAATGACATAATCGTCAGGGCGAAGAAGCTCTCTGATGGAGCGAGCGGCGGCGAGACGCTGCTTAACATCAAGATAGGAGGAAGGCTCGTCAAACATGTAGCTGTAAAGTTTATCAGCTCTTGCGCATAGAAAAACGGTTCTAAATATTGATCTTACACGTCGGCCTTCTGGACGCAAACCAGACCAATGGCGAAACGCTGGAGCTCTCCACCAGAAAGGTGACCGATATCACGGTCCTGGACCTGTCTCAACTCTGCATATATCATTAGCAGTGTTATCATAACGCTCAATTTGCAACTGTGCCATACCAAGAGTGTCGAGAATGTGTTCCAGGTTGCCCAACTGAGCGCGGGCCTTGATGAGGTCTCCAACGTTCTGAACAGGGCCCTTGACAGCCCTGGGAATCTGATCGACATATTGAGGCTTGACAACAGCCTTGAGATCGTCCTCCAGAACCTTGGTGAAGTAGTCTGCGTACAGTTAGAAGTCTGTCTAGCTCGACTCCAGGGTACTCTATATACGTACTCTGCAGTTCGGAACCACGGAAGTACTTGAGAATTTCTTCCCAGTCGGGAGGGTTGTCAAAACGTCCAAGGTTGGGCTTCAGCTTTCCACTGAGAATCTTCAACGCCGTACTCTTTCCAATACCGTTGGTACCGACGAGACCAAGCACCTGTCCGGGACGGGGCATGGGAAGACGGTGAAGCTTGAAACTGTTGGCGGAGTAACGGTGGGTAACTTGAGTCTCCAAGTTGGTCGGCAGGTTGATGATGTGAATGGCACCGAAGGGGCATTTCTTGGGACAGATACCGCAACCGATACAGAGGCGCTCGGAGATGAAGGCAATCTTGGACTCGGGAGTGACCTCGATACAGAGCTTACCCGTACGTACGACGGGGCAAGACTTCTTACATTCCTGGCGACATTTCTAAAAGAGGAGAAGGGGTAGAGCGTTAGAAGGTAGGTCTGAGGGCGCGAAGAAAGCAGGACCATCGGAAGATTCGCGTACCTTGGGTTTGCACTATTACCAGCCAAGCGAGATGTCTCAGTATACGTTGAAGCGTCGACACATGGTTGTTGGCAGCGTATGCCGCGGGGTATAGGAAACTCACTTTGTCACTGTTGACAATAGCAACACTGAAAACCGAGATCTGTTAGCTGGTGTGACCAAGAAGAAACCAATAAGGTGGACATAAGGAGGCATACCGGGTAAGCTTGTCAGACATGATGGCTAATGTTCAGATCAAGTCGGATGCGCGAAACCGATGTAGTGGGGGAGCAGCTGCAAAAAGAAGCAGTAAGATCGCTTAAAGGGTGAACTGTGCTGGATGAAGCCGATCACACGGCGGCGGTTGGACTGGCAAAATGCGAACGCGCCAGATCTCTGCACAGGCAGCACCAAAGAGAGAGCGAGGTAGAAACGTTGCTGGAGAACCCCGATGAGGAGGGGCTCTTTGGAGAGAAAACTATGCCGGGCATTGTGGGCAACCGTGGCTGCCTCAGGCTACAACTGTTTCCGGGCTGCATTATTTCTGGCGGTGCTGATTGGCTGACTGTTCACATTGACTGATTCTGCTCGGAAGAAAAGTAGCTCCTTTCCCGAGACACACGTGACAAAGAAAGCGCGCTAGTACGCTTGAAGGCTCGCTTGAGGCGCGCTAAACCGCACAGAGCATGGCGGGCAATGGCAGCCTGAGGGATCAGGCGGGCAGCCAATCCCTTCACGGCGACTCGTCCACCTCCAGCCGAACGTACAACACTCTTCCTACTCCCTCATCATATTCTCAGCGGCCTCCCATCGTTCCTTTGCTGCCTCCACCATTCCATCCTCCCCTCCCCCCCCACCTTTTCCCTTCAACTTTGTCACCATTTACTTCTTCGTTTTTCCCTGATTAGGGGTCACCAAGCTATGGAATGTAAGTATTTTATTTGTCTATCCTAGCTTTTTCCTAGACGTGTCCTGCCACTGTCGGCCGGGGTACTTCTCCACGGTCTCGACCCACCGAAGAACTCCAGATATCCCCTGCATCTGGTGTATTGAGGGGTTCTCGGGTTCCTCCTGGTCAAGGTCTGGCTGGCTTTCCTCTCCTGTACCTGTTTTTGCCTTCGGATTTGCCCCTATTATCCCCCATCTCTTCCCTATCACTCTCCGTCGCGTTTCATCCAACCCGCCATCAAAAACATGCCCTTCCATCATACCTCCATCTCCTACCTCGTTCACCTACCTATTCTGTTCGGTTCTAGTGGAATCTGAGTCGCGTAAACCTGTTTTACACTATGCCGTGTCTTCCATCCCTCTCCGGCCTCGTACCGGGCTTCAATGCTGATGCCTCTCATCATCAATAGCTACTAGCATGGTGATCCCATCTACCTCCGAACCATCGGCCACAATGGCCTTGATGAATGGGTACTCCGCATCACCTGCCTCCGATGCTGCAAGCAGCAGAGATGATCTTGCAGTCAGCGAGAGTGAAGACCACCTATCCGACTCCTTTGCAAACCATGCCGCACGCGATTCATCATCCTCCCCCGAGGAAGACGCCGCAGACGAGTCCTATAATGCCGGCTCCCCAGACGCGGAGGGAGATGAGGATGCTTTTGGGATGGAAAATGACGAGGACCAGAGCAGTGCATCTGGCTCTGAAAACTCTTCATCATCAGAAACCAGGCGTGGCACGAAACGGAAATCATCGTCGGTCAATGAATCAGACTATATCCGACAGAACCCCGATCTATACGGCCTTCGCCGAAGCGCAAGAGCCCGCACGACGCGTCAAATAGTCGAATCAGACTCAGACTCGGACGACTCCGATGCTGTAGCACCCCGTGCTAAGCGTCGACGCGCTGCGGCCTCACAACCCACCTCGAAACGTCCCTCCCGCTCCGCCACCCAGTCGTCGTTCTCCGAAGACTCGGACAGCGATGAGTACGGGGGTCCCCGTGCTCGTACAAGTAAGGCGAGGCGACGGCGGCTCCTCCAAGCCACATCAAACGATGCACCTTCGCACCCTGAGGTTCGTTTCTCAACGAGGAATGCTTCTCGGGTCTCGAATTACAACGAAGATGATGATGATTCCATGTTCGAGGATGACCCAGAGGAAATGACGCAGAATTATTGGGTGAATACTGTGGAGGATGATCGCCCAGCTGTCGATATTGTGCTCAATCATCGCCTCAAGGATGGTGTGGACCCAAGTAGCCTCGACGTCGGCCGCCACGACTTTGAGTTCTACATCAAATGGCAAGGCAAATCCCATTACCATGCCACATGGGAAACGGCCGAGAGTCTTGCCAACTGTCGTAGTACCCGCCGCCTTGACAATTACATACGCAAAACACTGTCCGAAGACGTCCGCCTCAAGAATGATGCAGATGTTGCCCCCGAGGATCGGGAGAAATGGAACCTCGATCGTGAGCGGGATGTAGACGCAATTGAGGATTACAAACAAGTTGAGCGAGTCATCGGAATGCGCGAAGGCGACGAAGGGACGGAGTACTTCGTCAAATGGAAGCGCCTGTTTTACGACTCTTGTACATGGGAGAGTGAAGATCTCGTTAGTAATATTGCTCAGCGCGAGATAGACCGTTTTCTAGATCGCTCCTCTCGCCCCCCGGTGTCAGACAAGTCCGAGACCAACCCAGCCACGCGCAAGTCATTCGAAACAATCAAGAGCACACCTAGCTTCCTACAGAATGGCCAGCTGAAGGAGTTCCAGGTGAAAGGTGTCAACTTCATGGCTTTCAATTGGGTGAAGAACCGCAACGTTGTGCTGGCCGACGAGATGGGTCTTGGTAAGACCGTACAGACCGTTGCCTTCATCAACTGGCTACGCCACGTGCGCCGCCAGCAAGGGCCTTTCGTGGTCGTCGTCCCACTGTCGACGATGCCATCCTGGGCTGAGACCTTCGACCACTGGACCCCTGACCTAAACTATGTTGTCTACAATGGCAATGAGGCTGCACGCACAGTTCTGCGTGAACATGAGCTTATGGTAGACGGGAACCCCCGACGCCCTAAGTTCAATGTACTCCTCACAACATATGAGTATGTCCTGCTGGACTCGACCTTCCTGAGCCAGTTCAAATGGCAGTTTATGGCCGTTGATGAGGCACATCGGTTGAAGAATCGCGAATCTCAGCTATATTTGAAGTTGCTCGAGTTCAGGTCTCCGGCTCGACTTCTCATCACCGGAACTCCTATTCAAAACAACCTTGCAGAACTCTCTGCCCTTCTAGACTTCTTAAATCCGGGCCTGGTTCACATTGATGCCGACATGGACTTGAACGCAGAAGCTGCCTCTCATAAGCTTGCGGAGCTGACGAAAGCTATTCAACCCTTCATGCTACGGCGAACGAAGTCGAAAGTGGAGTCTGACCTTCCTCCCAAGACCGAAAAGATCATTCGCGTCGAGCTCTCCGACGTCCAACTGGAGTACTACAAGAATATTCTCACCAAGAATTACGCTGCGCTCAATGACGGAGCCAGAGGTCAGAAACAATCACTTCTGAACATCATGATGGAGCTGAAGAAAGCAAGTAACCATCCATTCATGTTCCCCAATGCCGAAGCCAGGATTCTGGAAGGTAGTACCCGCCGGGAGGATGTTCTGAGGGCAATGATCACCAGCAGTGGTAAAATGATGCTTTTGGATCAGCTTCTTGCCAAGCTGAAACGTGACGGTCACCGTGTGTTGATCTTCAGTCAGATGGTTAAGATGCTTGACATCCTCGGTGATTATATGGAATTCCGCGGATATACATATCAACGACTGGATGGTACTATCCCTGCGGCTGCACGTCGTTTGGCAATTGAACACTACAATGCTCCTGGAAGCAATGACTTTGCGTTCATTTTGTCTACCCGAGCTGGTGGTCTTGGAATCAACCTCATGACGGCAGATACTGTAGTCTTGTTTGATTCTGACTGGAACCCCCAGGCTGATCTTCAAGCCATGGCCAGAGCGCACCGTATTGGACAGACGAGGCCGGTTAGTGTGTATCGCCTAGTGTCGAAGGATACCGTGGAGGAGGAAGTGATTGAGAGAGCTCGCAACAAGCTTCTACTCGAGTTCATCACAATCCAACGTGGTGTTACTGACAAGGAGGCGTCAGAGATTCAAAACAAGATGGCTCGTAGTGGAATTTCGGTCAGCGAGCCAAACTCAACAGAGGATATTTCACGTATTCTCAAACGTCGTGGCCAGAGGATGTTCGAGCAGACTGGTAACCAGGAGAAGCTTGAACAACTCGATATCGACTCAGTCCTCGCAAACGCAGAACTTCATCAGACCGAACAGGCTGAGGAGATTCAAGCTGACGGTGGCGAAGAGTTCCTTCGAGCCTTCGAATATGTTGACATCAAGGTGGACGACCTTAGTTGGGATGACATCATACCCAAAGAACAGCTGGAGGAGATCAAGGCAGAGGAGAAGAAGAAAGCCGACGAACGCTATCTTGCCGAAGTCATTGAGCAGAACCGACCCCGCAAGCGCAATGCACCGGGTGATGCACGGGATACCCGTGAAGAACGCAAAGCCAAGAGATTAGCGAGAGCACAGGTCAGTATGGAGAATGGCGATGACTCCGACTCAAATGCTCAGTCGGACCCGAAACGACCCCTTGTGGAGAAAGAATACCGCCATCTTCTGCGTGCCTACCTTCGTTTTGGAAATATGGTAGAACGTGAGGAGGATGTCGTTCGTGAGGCACGTCTCCTTGACCGTGATAGAGAGACGGTCAAGGCTGCGCTCCGCGAAATAACTGACAAGGCTGCCGATCTGGTACGGGAAGACATAGAGAAACTCGAGGCCCTGGAACACGCTGGTAAGGTGCCGACGAAGAAAGAAAAGAAGGCGGTCTTATTCGATCTCCATGGAGTCAAGCGTCTTAATGCGTACACTATTGTGGAACGTCCGACGGAAATGCGTATTTTGAAGGAGGCGACGGCCGCCGTGCCTGACTTCAAGAATTTCCGGATACCGGAAGCCACTAAAGCCGCGGACTATACGTGTCCATGGGGTGCACGCGAGGACGGGATGCTGTGTATCGGTATTGCGCGGCACGGATATGGTGCTTGGACGCAGATCCGAGACGATCCCGACCTTGGCCTTGGGGACAAGTTCTTCCTTGAAGAACACCGTGTTGAGAGGAAAAATGAACGTATGAATGCTGAGGACAAGACAACGAAGTCTCCAGGAGCCGTTCACCTTGTTCGTCGCGCAGACTATCTGTTATCTGTTCTTCGTGACAAAGTCACCAACGGTTCGAGTGTCAGCGCGAAGAGAGCTGTCGAGAATCATCACCGGAATAACCGGAAAGGTTCCCGTACGCATGCCAGCAACAGCGTCTCGGCTTCGCCCGCGCCGTCTCTTTCTCGTAGAGGCCACCGGGAAACAGAACGTTCCAGGCATCGGTCTCATACCCACGGCGCCAGAGATAGTGTTGAACGACACCATACTCCCAGCCACGATCGACCCAGATCCATGCATGAAGGCGAACGAAGCCGTCATAGAACGTCCGACGCATCCAGTGAGGACATTCGGCGTCGTAAGCCTCATGAGAATGGCTACTCCGCCGGCAAAGAGGACATGGCTCGCTTGTTCTTCAAGCCCATTCGCGAGAATCTGAAGAAGGTGTCAGCCGTTACTAAAGAGAATTTCCCGAGCAAGGCTGAAAGGGCTACGGAGTTGAGACGTCTACTTGGAAAGGTCGGTGAATTCATCGGTCAAAATCTGAAGGGCCAGGGCTCCATGTCGTCTTTGGAGACTCGTTTATGGTATGTCCAATGCAATCCGGCTTCTGTTCCGAACAAAGTATACTGACTCCCTCAATAGGCAATATGTTTCGGTACACTACTGGCCCAACAAAGACGCCGGAGGGGCTAAACTTCAAGAAATGTATCATAAACTGATCGCAATCCCTAAGGAGCCTGCTGCTTCCAAGCCAGCCTCCAACGGAGAGTAGATGCCGGTTTTCTAATCCCGGTATCTTCCAGCGAAAGGATGTCAAGGGTCTTGTTCTTTACATGGAGTTCTTCTTTTTGCTTCTATTCATGTTAAAAGGTACATATGCATCATTTGGGTTAGCATGGCGACGGCGTCTGGTATGATCTACGAATAAGGAGTGTTGTGTGAGGTTGACCCCATGAGTGGCCTTCTATGATGTTTGCATGCATGGCAGCTATTTCTTTGGCTCTTAACGTCTTGCGGTTTTCCCGCGTATTTGGAGCATCGGGATTATTTGTGATGTGTTCACATATATTGTTTCCTTCTATTCCTCTCTCTCTCCCCATCGCTCATCATTCGCTCCCCTCCCATATACCTCCAGAATGATGAGCGGCGTTCTTTGTTATTCCTCCGATATCGAACACGGGAAAGAAAAGAAGAAAAGACAACCCAGCTGTTGCCACGATTGTTTCTTAGCCCTTTTTTTCTCCCTTAAACCATACCATCCGAGCAGGGCTCCTCTTATATCCTTCGAATTCATGTATCTTCTTTTCAGACTATCAACGTCGTCATCATTATCATCATCGGGCCTACTTTACTACTACTATTATCCCTGGAGTTTGATCTCTTTTTTGCTACGTTGATTCTAGCCTGGGAATGAATGGATATCCATATTGTTATTGCTCCCCTTCTTTTCCCCCCTGTATCGACGTGTCCTTAGACCTTCGATAGTTGTTTCTTATTTTCAACAAGAAAGAGTGTTGTGTTTCCCATTCCATTGTCTAGGATACGTCTTGAAGGCTACTACTACTTGGCATGCCCATTCGTGCAGATAACAGGAGGCGCGGAGTGCATAGTATGTTGTCCCTGGATTTCTTTTCTCTCTTAACAGAATACAATCAGACCACACTTCAACAACAACAACTACTACTACAAGGGTTACAAGCATGTAATGAATCAAGGTACTTGGTTTTTATTTCTTTTCAATAGTAGTGACTCCATGCTATCATTCGATATTGGAAGGAAGAAAGGAAGCGCCAATCCCATTTCGTAAGGTTACAAACACTCAGCAAACTAGTAAAAGACCAGGATATTTTGCGGAAACGAAAGCGAAAACGAAATGAACTATACCGGAATTGATCAAGTCCCTGCGTGTGCCGTGACGTGGTAAGATAATGAAGACAAAAGGTGTATAAGAAAAGGAGGGGGAAAGAAAGGAATGGAATATGAGTAGTTGTGGCACGTTTTTATCACAAGAAACGTGATGTGACGTGGCCCAATCCCGTGGCGAAGTCATTACCAGCAGCAGCCCCAAGAAAAGAAGAAAATTCCCAAAAAGAATCCCCAAAAACAAGAAGGTAAAGTACAAGAGGAAAGGGGGTAGGAAGAGCAATAGCAAAGGCAGGAGTAATCAAGTCAAGAAGGATATATTAGGTGACCACCGCCATCAACTTCGACCATCGTATCATGGCGGAACAGACCCAGACCCCTGGTCTTGTGCAACATCCATCTCTGTTGGCTCTGACTGCCGTTGCTCCGACTGCGGTGCATTATCCGTCCCGTTCGCTGGCGCAGACTTGGCCACGCTGAATTTCTCATCGAGGAGCTTGAACAATCGTACCTCGGCCTCCATCAAGTCATCAAAGATTGCTTCCTTCTCCATCCACGATTCCTTTCTCTTGACGCGAATCTTCTCCCATGCGTCGCGTAGCTCCGCACCGTCCTGCTGTGCCCAGTGGATCTGTCTCAGAAGCAGCCGATACAGTTGCGGCCCTTCAAGCAGCATCTCGTAGGTGTCGAATTCCTTCTCCAATCCACCAGGGGGTACGTGGAGATCGTCCTCCAGTCCTGCTGCCTCCTCATTGGCGCTTTCGCTGTGATCTCCTGCGTCGTCTTTCGGTGGGAACGATAGCTTCAGCTTCAACCGTTGGATCTTGCCGGAAGGGGTCGCGGTCGGCGTTCCTGCCGCCGAAGCAGCGACGTTGTGGTGTTTGGGTACGGGGTCTGAGGGACGAAGCGCCTCTGTTTCGTGAACAGTTCTCATGTGTTTGGCAAGGGCGTCTGATCGAGTGAAGCTGCGGTCGCATTCTATAGACAGAAAAGGGGAACAATGTTAGACGTTGCCAAGGGATAACGGGCAAGGAACGTATGGGGGGAATGGTCTAGGAAAACTTACCAGGTAGAGCGCAATAGAAGGGCTTTTCTCGCGTATGGCTTCTCATGTGTGCGCGCAGCGCGTAGCCACTTGCGTGAGTTTGACCCTTTCGACTGCAATCGGACCATTCGCAGGAGTACTTCTTCTGTCGGCTCCCGACATGTTCTTCATGTATGTGCTTTACGAGGCCATCCATATTGCCTAGATCACCGGCGTCGCATCCATCCCAGCGACAGACGGTGACTTGATCGTTGCCTTGGCCGCTGTAGTCGTCATCCTGACTGCCGCCGATGAGAGCGAGGGTGTTGGGAGAGTTGGGAATGTCGCCGGAGGTATCGGACGAGATGGAGGTGGAGGGAGAAGGAGGAGGGAGATCATCTTGGAAAGTGGTCGAAACGGGAGTATTGCGATCCCAAGAGGCAACGCCAGTGCGACGACGCTTTGAGGGAGGCATGTTGGAGCCCGAGGGAGAGAAGGCTTGCTTTAGGTCGTCGCGATCCGACATGTCGTCGGAAGCAATGGAGGAGAGGGGGGAGCCCGGAGATTCCGTCATGGTGGTTGACAGGAGAGGAGGGCCCGCTTTGAGCAGAGTTGGAGAGTGAATAACGGGGGGAGAACTGAGCAACAACTGTGGGCCTTTAGGAGTGTTACTGGCACTGGCTGGAGGAGTGAGCCAGGTTTGAGATGTTTGGAAGTTCGATATCCGGCGCCGGAGTATACACTGGGCTGAGCACCCGGCACGTGATGAGGCTATTGCGCCGCCAATTTTCTTCGCGCCCGAATTCCCTTTTCTTTTCTTCTCCTCTTTTACACTTCACTGGTCTCATGGACTGGGATATACCAACTTGGGGATTCGCTTTGAAATCTAATGTGACTCAATTCCTCTCCCAGTGGCTAATTGAGCTAGTTTCTAGCTAATTGTTTCCTGTTTTCGTGATCTGTCTAACAGATCCTGCCCACACATTGTTTGAGCAGGGTAAGTTGCCGCCAATTTCCTACCACTTTATTGTGTTTTGAATCTGCCGCAACTTCCATGATGAATTAATCAAGAATTCTGCAATCCTGACAATCTCCTTTTTGTGAGATTGCATGTTGACTCTTCTACACTTGATCTGACCCCTCGTCTGTTTTCATTGTGTCCATGAAGCTTTTCACTGCTGCCGCGTCAACTCAAGCTGACAATTCTGGCTTATTCAGGATCTTATTATCTCTCCTATACTGTTTATATATAGCCATGATATCATGTTCAATCTCAAAAAATCACCAAAGTACACGCATTATGAAAACCGTACAACCGTAGCTTAGTAGCGACTTCCGACCACCTGAATCCGGTCTAAAATGCCCTTAAGCTCGTCCATCTCAGCATCACTAAGGCGAGGGACTCCCTCCAGGTTCTGAGTAACCTTGTCAACCGTTGTACCACCGGGGATGGGGATAATGGTGGGCATTCCCGGCTTGCCGCTGAGGGTGAGGATCCAAGCCAGGGCGATCTGTACGGGAGCCACACCCTTGCGCGTGGCCAAGGCCTTGACCTCATTAACCAGCTTGATATTTTCCTTCATGGCTTCCTCCTGGAACTTGGGGAGCGTTCTGCGGAAATCGCCCTCCGGGATCTCGTTCACACTGGTGAAAGCACCGGCCAACACACCGCGGCCCAAAGGCGAGTAAGCCACAACGGGGATGTTGAGCTCAGCGCAAACCTTCGCGACGTCATTGTTGAGGATCGTGGTGTCAAAGAGGGACAATTCAACCTCTACCGCTGCGATCGGGTGGACCTTGTGACTGCGTGATTTCGTCAGCTGCTGTTCCCTTTTTTTTTTCTTTTTTTTTTTTTTTTTTTTTTTTTTTTTTTTTTTTTTTTTTTTTTTTTTTTTTTTTTTTTTTTTTTTTTTTTTTTCTTATTGTCGTGTAACCAGCTTCTGCAAGTAAATGAATGTGTGTAGCAACGTACGCTCTGCGAATAGTCTCTGCATCCACCTCACTCAACCCAATACCTCCAATCTTGCCCTCCTTGACATATTGCGCCAGAACAGTCACTTGCTGCTCCACCGGCACGTTGGGATCCTGTCTCGCGCATTCGAAGATATCGATCTTCTTCTTTCCGTCCAGCACGCGCAGACACTCGTCCACACTCCGGCGGATGTTGGCCTCGGAGCTATCGGGGGTAAGCTCTCCACGCTTCAAGCCACCCTTGATACTTAGGACGACCTTGTCGGCGTTCTCGGGGTACTTGGTGAAGTATTTGTTCAGGAGGTGGCACGAGTTGTAATCGGGTGTGCCGTAGAGCTCGCCGGCGTTCCAGAAGTTGGCTCCGAGCTTGAGGGTGGTGTTCAAGGTTTCGAAGCATTGCTCGTCCGAGGGAGGCTGAGGGACCCAGGTCATTCCTTTAAATTGACATCATTATCGTCAGCTGCGAGAATAATTATGGTGATTGCGGGGTTGATTGTTTTCCAACATACTCATGGTTCCGTAGCCGGTGTGGCCGATTTCGCGTCCGTTGAGGGAAGGCATTTTGCTGGGTATGCTGTGGATTTGGTTTGGTTTGTGGTGTTCGATTGGAGGTTAAGATGTGTAGCTCTTGAAGATTGAGAGGTGATGGATGGATGGTATTTAAGCTTGAGTTTGGGTCGGGGTTGCAGCCCGCAATGAAGAGGGTCGATGAGGGGCTTTTATCTCTGCTTTCCCCCACCTCAACACCACTATTCGGATTTCCTCGGACATCGTCCTGGATTGTCGCTCTTGACTCACAATTGGATACGAGACCCGCTGATTGTCATTGAGAGTTACGATTATATTCGATGAGTTCTGTGGATCGGCCGCGGTATTAATCATGGAGGCCGAGGGGTCCTTCCCGGATTTAGCTGGAGTTAAGCTCGTAGACCGACGGACGGAAGTTAAATCCACCAAAAACGGAGAATCAAATAGATGGACGGAGACCGAGAGGTTCTAGGATCACCAAGTCAAATTTCTACTTCAAGTACTAATTCATTATATAGCTTCCTTGCCATTGGACTTCGTCAATCGTGACACGCCGCTGAATACTTTTTCACAAAAACAGAAGTATAGGAGAGACATCGAGACAAACAAAGCACCCGCCAAACCAAACATTACAATCCCAAAAGAGTTCAGACAAATTGAGATAGAAGGTAAACTCTCAGTATGGCTCAGTGAAGCGTATGCTCGTCGCTGCTATCCAGAGCATCCTTGACAGCGTCCTGTATCTTCTGCATCAAGGCCTTCGCGAACCCTGAAGCGTCCGATGCAGGGTTCGGAAGGGTGTTACCCTTACTGTTCTTGCTGTTGTCAGAGTATTTCTCGTAATTTTGGGAGGTCGAGTCATCGGCAACCTTCTTGGTATCCTTCCCATTATCCGTCGCCTTGTCATCATCTTGATCGACATCGTTGTTTTGGCTGGTCACGGTCTTTGTAGGGCTGTTGCTGTCATCAATGACATCAGGCTGATCAGACTTAGCAGGCTCATTGTCTGACTTCCAGTGGTTGAGCTTGGTCAAGTCATGGAGTCCGATAGAGTCGAAAAGGGTGTCGATAAGATCGCTGTTCTCGTCGTCGGGGGTATCGGCTTGAGGGATCATTCGCTGTGGCGAGAGGGTCAGCTAATTGGGTGGGTGTGAGTATACAGACAAGAATACTTACCGGGTCAGGAGATCTCGAACTCACCGCTCTCGATACAACGTCCTTCTTCGATGTAGATACAGGATATGCGAGGGTGAGAGAAGAGAAGGTGAGGAATGTGAGGACCATGCAGGTCACTGATGGCGTCTTAGGGTACATGGTGTTATGAGATGACAGTGTGACGTGGTTACAAATAATGAAATTAAGAGTATAAGTATGAAAGGGCACTGGGAACAGGTCAAGTGCTTTGAGGAGTAAGTTTGAGGTGAAATTTGATTCGAAAGTTTGACGAGACAATCGAGCCTAGATATACTCCTCGCCGTTGCCCCGGACCCCCTGTGCGATGAGACACTGCCGACGTGCGGAATGGAAGGGCTGGATAGATGTCACGGGGGAGAATACCACGCGTTTTGCAAGATCGCGTCTCAAGATAAGGCCCAGCCATGAATTGGCTTTCTCACGCCACTTATTTCTTAAATTCAGGAAGTTTGCTTGCTACTAGGAGGTACTTAGTCCTCTAAGGCCAAGTTGATACCACCACCGCTGTCGCACGGAAACACCAACTAGTCAGAAGTTCCATTTCGTGATATTCCCCTTGAAGAAGCGCAAAGTTGCCATTGTTTTATTCAGTTATCCAGGCCCGATCGAAATGAAACAGTAGCATAGACCCTAAATGGTAGGGGTTGACCATCTCGCATTCCAGGGGCCTTGAACATTCCAGCCCGGTTGCTTGCCGGACAGGGATAGGCTCGCCACTTATCGATATGAGATCATCCAAGGCCAACTGGAATTGAATTCCCAGGAATGTATTCTATTTCTCGAGAGCCGTACCTGCTGGCTGGGAGATATCAGCGGAACGTTCATCCCGACCACTGCAGGTCTGTAGTGTGCAGGCGTCGCATCCATAGTAGACTCACAGATAGGAAGCCAAGGACTCAACAATCAATTGATAGTTTTCTCGTCCTCTGTAGTAGTCCTGTCACAGTGACTTTGTCCGTAAGGGTGTGTTTGGCACTCATCGGCTTTGGCATAACATCTGTGTCGCACATCTGTACCAGTCCATTCTGATTTCCTCAACTCGGCACAGATAGCTCCATTGTTCTACACTGGAAGTGTAACCAGGTCAACCACACCCACACTATTTTGAGTCTCCCTCTCCTAGAGACTCATGAGACTGTTGCACCTCTTCATTTGCAAGATTTGATTGCCACGTGAGTACAAAGTCACTCTATGTCTCAACAGTAATCCCATCCAGGGCACAATGCCACGTCTGAGTGTTCTGTGCCTCAAGACTTGACTTCGAGCAATATCGGTATCTTGTGTATCACTGAATGGACTAGCGACAGGAGGACAAATTCAGCGCGCATTCATTGGTCTGAATGGGATGGAGGGTAAGCTGAGGGCGGTGCTGGGGCGATGTTGACATCGAGGTAACCGGTTAGCACCCAGCAAATCGCTCGTAATGTCTCACTATGACAAGACCACTAAAGGCAAACGTCAGCTTTCAAGCACACAGGACAGTAATTGATTATCAGCCAAAGGCAACTAACAAGCGATCATAGACTCGATACTGCAAGTTCTTGGTTATTTCTGACCATAGATGAAACATGCAGATTGTCAAATCCACAGGCATATACAGGTTATCTTCGCCTGACTTGGGCTGGCTGAGCGTCTCCCAAGGTGCGTTGATTGGGCAGTCATAGTCATCCTCCAATGTCAAAAGACACGTAAGTGCGTCGTCGTGGGGCCAGAGTTCTCTCTCTGAAAATGAAATAACAGCGTTCGACACGATGCAAGCAGTGAGCGAACAACCACATCCGTCTGCAATCCCAAACAAGTAGTCCAGTCGTATCAAACGAGGGTCCAACACCCAGCATAACAAACCTCAGACCCTGCCTGGGACCTGCTGCAAGAGGTCAAGCCAGCCAAGAGCCATAGTACGCATACAATCAGCCCATTTCCCACCTGCAAACGTATCCCCTTGACCACATGAACCAACCAACGCTCATGCAAAGCGCCTTCATTTCGGCATACGTGATCAGTCTCAAGCAGCAGTAGCCGCCCCCCAAAAAGCACCCAAATTCAAGGGTCTTGCCCCGTGGCTGCTTACGAGCCTACAAGCCTGACTCGCTGAGGAGTGGCGCCCGTTATACTTTACTAGACGGCAGTCTGATCCTGTCACGCATATGTCCAGCGGCATTTACTCGTACGTCCACTACGACCGAGAAGGAATGATCTTCTCTGCAGGCTGCGCCGCCGTGGGTTTAGTTACTTAGCCTTGCTATGTTGGAGTAATTCCTCCAGTGTTGGCTGCGTAAGGCCTGCGGCAGCAACATGGGCGGCGCGCGCACGAGACCTCCGCACTTACAAGGCGCTGATCGAGATCAGTCAACTAGGAAAGTAAACTCCGTCCCACGACGAAGAAAGTGCTGGGCCTTTCGGGTTTATGCGTGGGAATAATTTGTTCATAATGAATGTGCGTATACACATACGTAGTCAAGTCAATAATAGGAAAGCCGGAGGGGGAAAGGGGAATTCGAAACGTCGGGGGCTCCTCCTCCCCTTTCGTCTTTGTCAAAACACCCTCATCACGACATCGTATCATCTCTGACGGGATGAGTGATCGAATGAATGGAAAGACGCTACGTAGACCTCTTCGGGGACGTGTGTGTGCCTTGCACTGAGTCGTTCTGAGTTAACCGCGACTAGTTGGTAGGAGCAACAGGCAGAAAAATTTTGATGCCACGGTTCAGGAAGCAAATGAGGCGAAAAAAATGGAAAATAAAATGAAATAAAAAGCTAAGGGAACCCTTAATGAGGTCCGCCCCAATAGCTAACGGAGGAGCATCCCCGCTTCCATCTTGAATTTCTTCGTTCTTTTACATATCTATACTAGTCTAGTTGGAGAGCCCTAAGCAATTGCTCGGCGACGCTAGGCTGGGCCCCACTGGGCACCGGAGCATTCGTATGCACCTACGTATCTAGGTGTCAAGGGAAATGATCCAAGACGGAGGGTCATGAAGTTAACGTGATTACGGGGTGTAAACAATGAGATCGGCTCTATACATGGTATGAACTTGTATCCTCGGTACGATCGTGGCCGTTCTGGGGTCATCAGGTACCATGGGATGGGCAGCATGGATTGTGTGTGGGTGTGGGTGTGTACCGTGTCATGGAAGTAGATTAGAATCGATGAAGGGAAACAGGGTATCTTGGATTAGTTAGTGTTTGGTTCGACACCTGATCGGTCCCTAAGTAAGCGGTCGTTTTACCCCGTAGTTTGTGTGGCTTACGTATGTTTCCAGTCTAACACCAGGTGGTCCAGTCTAGTTGCTTCGTGTTGACCCTTCGTGCCCTCTCTTTCTGACTCTCTCTCTGTCTCTCTGACTCTCTAGCCTGAAGATAGTGGCATCGAATTGAGCCCTGAAAAGCATAGTTGAACCGGACCTTCAGCCAACAAGCCACCGGGCGACAGTCTAGAACGGAGGGGGAAAGCGATTAGACCTCAAACAGATTAGTCTCCGGCTGATTCATGCGTATCTGAGGACTAATCTAATTCTACGCGCGGCATGTCAAATATCGGACCCCACTGAGTGACGTCTCTGCTTACGCAGCTGGCGTTTGCTAGTGGTGGTGGTGAGGTGAATGGTGTGGGAAGTGTGGACTGTGGATATACCTCCGAGGTGGGTAGTTTAGATAGAAAAGTAGTTGAGTTTAGTTGTATTGTTGGACGGAAGAGACAAGGCGTCTTTGCATGGACAATTGGAATCGATATCGGCTAGGGTTAGTTTGAGTTAGTTGGATCCTGCGTGTGACACCACTTCGATACTCCAACTACACTTTCATACTGTACAATTTATCAAAATGATATGCAATCTGAACAGACAGTTGTTGAATACATCCGAGCGAGCAATGTTCTTTCACCTAACTGACTCTGACTCTTACTCCCTACACCAATCCCATCAATCTCCTTCCACTCCACCTGCTTTCTGCACGATAAACCAGAATGAACCCAACCCTCACTAGCGTGTAGCTAAGAAGGCCACTTGATAACAGCCCCACCCCACTCACTCACCAACAACAACAACCCTTTCTCTCTTCCCCAATCAATCTTTGAAGTTGAATGGACCCCGAGAAGGGCACAAAAGGAAAAAGATAAAAAAATAAAATAAAATAATCAAGGGAAGAAAGTATATGCGTATCCGGAGTAATCTTACTGCCTCGAAAAGGGTAATTTAACCGTCATGGTATCCAATACCGTTACCGGATTACCCCCTCCCCATCCACCCAATCCAATCTTCCCCCCCTTCGGTGTGAATCTTGTCTCATTCTAAAAAATTCCCATTTCTCGGTTCCTGTCCCTTGGATGTGATGGATGGGTCAACTTCCCCCCTCCTCGGATATCGACTACCGTAGCGAGCTTAGTCGGGACTCAGTGCTACCTTGGTCCGCCGACGCTTGCCCAGCTGCGGTTCCGAACTTTCTTTCCGGACCCTGAAGATCGCAGGGTCAGGCGCTCGCTCAACTTCTTCTCGCTGGTTGGAGGTTTTTGACGAGGAAATTGTGTGCGTGTGCTTGGCAGGCAGTTGATATTGTTTACTCAGCGGCATTGAGAATCCGGACCAACATTCGGTAGTTGTTGGAACGAACCAGACAATATTCTTCAGTCTGAACTACGTAGATCTGTTGTTTTTTTTTTTTTTTTTTTTTTTTTTTTTTTTTTTTTTTTTTTTTTTTTTACTTTTATTCTGTTTTTTCACAAAAATCAGGGGGGGGGGGTTTGTTTTTGCTAATGATGTTGCATATGCTGTAAGTACTATGCACTGCAGCAATCAAGCGACCGACCGACCCTACCCGACTGAACCGCCCCTTATCGCTCTTCCTCGACCACCACCACCACCACCACCACCTCCTCCTCCCCTGCCAACCCGGGATTCCCGCAGTCGCTGTTTCACTCCAATCCCACCCTACATTTTGTTTAATCCCTTCCTATTAAGTAAGACCTCGCTTCAATGAACAGCTGGTCCGAAGCGAGCTCTGAGACATCACCTATA